TCTCAACTTTGTCCGATTCGTCTTGGCCTTGGGGACGACATCTTTGCTCACTCTTCATGTCTTGCAGTACGTTTAGAATATCGTCCAGGAGCACATGCTTCTCTTTCTCCTCCTCTGCAACCCCGGACAATTTGGCTGACTGGGCATCAAACTTGCGGTGTTCCTCGGCAAGGAACAAAAACCGGTTTTGAACCTTCTTACCATCGACAACGCGACCAAAGTGCTCGCACGCAACGAGGGTCTCTGCCAAGCCTTGCCAGGCTTTCTTGAGTTGTCCCTTTTCCGCAGCAAAAGGACGGTCAGCTGCAACTTGGATGAGCAGAGCAATATCTTCTTCAAATGGGATCAGTTGCGGCGCTTCTCGGAGGACTTGTCGTTCTGGGACATGGTGCTGGAACGGTGATCTGGCAATGGCAGAGTCTGCCGCAGAATGGTCGTTTTCTACGGCAAGAATAACTATTTTTGGAAGGTCTGCCGTACATTTATAGTTTTAGAGAGGATCTGGCTATGGCAATGGCAACGGCACGTTTGCGAAATCTCCCTAATGATGCTTCCGAGGAGGTCGAACGCCAGGCACACGGCCGCGGCCTCGTCGCGCAAGGCCGCATCGAGGTAGACAATGAAGAGCTCTGGGGAGAGTGTGTCTCCTTGGGGCGTGCCAGTGTTGATGACGAAAGGTGAGCGACATCGAGGATAAGAGCATAGCCACGAGCCGCACTCCGTCGTCTTCGAGGATGTGTCGCAATACGCCGAGGAGCTTCGACCGATCGATTGTGTCAAACGCACGCGACAAGTCGATGCTGAGGATGTAGAAAGCCTCTTCGTACTTGTGGATTCGAGAGGACAACCACTTGTGCGTCCAGACAGCGTCCGCCGTGCTCCGGCCAGGTCGGAACCCACTCTGGTACGCACAAATTGTGGCATTGAGCTTGAGCATGATGCGCGCCAAGATGACGAGTGCAACGGCCTTGTGAACGCTGTTCAAGAGCACGATGTGGCGCAAAGGCCGCGGGGCTTGTTGGGCTTCGGGAGGCAGATCATGGTACCGGCGCCGAGGTCGAGGGTTTCGCCTTGGGCAAATTCGGCGAGCGGGGCGGCGTAGACGGCTGCGGTGGCTTCGAGAAGTCGGGGCCATGGGCGCGGTTGCCGTGAAGGGGTGGAATTGCCAAGGCAAATCCACCCCTTCAACCTGGTGGCGACCCTGCCGGCCAACGACTACAACAGCCGGCTGCTGATCGTACTTACTCGGGTAATCCGGCTGCGACGACGACCCCACCCACAACGTCTGGCGCCGGGATTCGTATGCTTCCCCCACCACCAGAGCACAGCGAGCGCCTTATTTGACGAATTAATTCTTCAAGCTCTCCCTGCGTCGCCTCAAGCAGTCCATGCTAATGTCCCGACTTCCCCCTGCGCCAATAAATGCTCTCAAGAGTTATGGATCTCAGCACCCATCTTTACCCATAAATTCGCTTATTCTATTCTCGCACCCTGCCTGGCTTGCCGTTCGACAGAATTACTTGGTTTTTCGATGATGCGGGGCAAACATGTTTGCATATTCACAAACAACTTGGATTTGAGTGGCCTCCAGCGCAATCTGGTCGTGAATATTTGTGATAACCACACTATTCATGCCCCGTCTTTGGTTGGGCAATTTTAATGGGTTCAACTCCACTGAGAACCTACGGCCATCACCCCTTCGGACGTAATCGATTTTTTCTAAAACCGCGACTGTTCTCCGGTGTTGGTATTTCCCACCCACTCGGCGGGGGCTCTGAACTCCAATCCACTCATGGCTATTTTCAACTCAATGCAGGCTCCTGATTTTCTCTGGTCTCAACGGAAATTAGACGAGCTCCGCGAAATTCTTATGGCTGTCGATCCACCAATGACGGTTATTGTGCGCAAGATTTCAGTGCTTAACGAATGTGCCGATCAGTGCCAAGGGGAAACAGCGCAAAATGCCCGAGTCTGACCAAGGAAGCCACCTAGCCACCTTTACAGCCTGACCAAACTACAGCTTCTTCAACTCCCCCTTCCTGTCTACGTCCAAGGACCCTCCTTCAACCTGGCACAAATAACCGAAGAATGCTACTGTATGTTTCAAGATGTATCAGGCAAACACGTTGTCACTAGCAGCAGCACTAGATTACCATTGCCAACAATAAACAATGCAATTCTAAACCCAAGACCACATCCAGCAGGCATTATAGAATATATATGTGATGGTAGTAGCTCCAATCGTATAATTTGGTCCCTTAAAGCTAGCGCTGCATCATAAGCTGAAGTACTGGTATCACTTGACTGCACAAGCCTGCTACTTTGGTCTGATGACACCCTCTCTGACTGGGTATGTTTGGACCTTGGCCAAGCAATGATCTCGAGTGCCCCTGCGAGCTCATTTGCTGCAGCCTTCTCCGCCATGCTCAGGTCCAGTATTTGCGCTAACCCAAAATTAGGGCATTAATGGTATATCTGTTGATGCCAATGTGCTAGCCAAAAATGCTCCTCTCGACTTTACACTATCCGACGATACGATTTTATTGCGCTCCAAGAGACCCTCAGCTTTCTAATGACATGCTCCGACTGCGCTGAATTTGTCCAAGACTGATGCCAAAGGATTTTTTGGCCCAAGTCAAGATGCAGCCTTTATGACAAGGGTAACGGGTGTACTGGAAAAGAGAGAATGCAACGCCTTCCTTGTCTTCGATGTCAAGTGAAATTCTGGATTCTGGTTGGTCAGTGATCTTCGAAGTTCGATGAATATTTTAGCCAATCACAGTGCCTTCCACACATTTTTATCACTTCAAGAGGAAATTAAATTTACAAGTCGCATAACATTTGAATTTCGAGGCACAAAGCCCATGGATTTTATATTTCAAGAGGTCATACGTCTACACAGGTTTGGCTAGGTATACACATCACCATGGATACAGTAAACACGACATAAGCGCAAGCGCTTGACACAACAACGCAGTGGTTTACCACCTTGTGTGTCTTGAGTGTACCAGGGGTTCAAGTTCCGGGCGTGTCGAACTTATTTCAATAAAAATCTCTCATCACCATATAGAATTTGTATGTACTTCCTCTGTTAGCTATTACTGCCACCATTTGAATTGCAAGTGACCCCGAAAATTCATATCTTATCCAAATTTGATGGCCAATATCATAAAAAATGGAGAATAAAAAACCAGAGGGATCATCCAATGGCACGGAGGACTCCAGAGGAAATTTTGGTGGTCGAAATCGACCCCGCGTGAGAGCCACCAAATTGTATTAAATAAATCTATAAAAAATCAAATAAAACTAAGGGCCCTACGCCCATTTTCAAATTTCCCGCCATGCACCAAACACGAGAACTGAGCGCGTCAACCAAGTTTGAGATCACCACAGCCCTTCAAAACAATCTGTGCCATGGCAAGCTTCCACGCGGGACTATCAAGGCCATTGCTGCTCGATTCGACTTGAACCGTGGCACCATACGCACCGTGTGGACTCGATACAAGAATGGCGTCAGCATGTCTCGAAAAACCGGCCGCGTAGGTCCCAGGACGCGCTACACAGCGGAGGAGATAACTACGCTAATCAAGGACGTACCTCTCCAACAACGCAGTACCCTTCGTGACTTGTCCGAGGCAACGGGAATATCGACGTTCACCCTGAGCCGTTCCCTCAAGAACGGTGTGGTCCACCGTCGCTCATCGCGCCTCAAGCCGTTGCTCACTGAATACAACAAGCGTGAGCGAATCGCATTTTGTGCTGGACATGTGGAACTTACCCGCGATGCCGCCCAAGAGTACATGGCGGACGTCGCAGAAGGCGGTGCACCGATTGGCAACGCCCGACTGCCGCCAGGGCCGGCTGTCTGAGTGAAATCCGCTTTTCGGGGATGTGGGATGTCGTCCATCTGGACGAGAAATGATTCAACGCCGACAAAGACTGCCGGAAGGCGTACCTTGTTGATGGTGAAGACATGGACTATCGGGCTTGCAAATCAAAGCGGTTCATCGCCAAGGTAATGTTTTTGTGTGCCGTGGCCCGGCCGCGCGACGGCTTTGATGGAAAGATTGGGCTGTGGCCCTTCGTGAAAAGGACGCCGGCCCTGCGAAGTTCGCGAAATCGTCAAGCTGGAACATTGGTGACAACGCTTGTCAATGTCGATGGGCCCACGTACCGCGATTACCTTGTCAACAAGGTTGTTCCTGCCATAAAGGCCAAGTTTCCCAGCATGAGCAAGCGCGTTGTTCTCCAGCATGACAATGCGACGCCCCACGGAAGCATCGACGAGGCGACGCTGGCCCTAATGTCCACCGATGGGTGGCAGTTCGTGGTGCGTCGGCAGCCGCCAAACAGTCCTGACTTAAACGTCTTGGATCTGGGATTCTTTGCATCTATCCAAAGTCTGCAGTACAAAACTATCAGTCGTTCTGTTGACGAGGTCATTGCATCGACCTTGATGGCATTTGAGACTCTTAGTGATGAGAAGTTAGCCAAGGTCTTTTTGACCCTTCAAGCTGTCATGCGGTTGGTACTTGAGCACCGTGGAAACAATAACTTTAAGCTGCCTCACCTGAAGAAGGATGCGATGGGACGTGCAGGCACACTGACGGAGAATTTGTCCTGTTGTGTGTCACTTCTCGTCGCTGCCAGCCTCCACTACCATTAAGACAGTTTTATCCAATGAGATTCATTTGTTTTCATTTTGTCCAATGATTGTGAAATGGTGGCAGTATTAGCAAAAAAGTCGATTTTGCAGTGGTGACAGTAATAGCTAACAGAGGAAGTAATAAAAATACAAACCAATGTACAGTAGTCCCACGGAATAGGGAACCCACCAAAACTCTATATCCTCGCAAAAATATACATTAGTGAAGGAATGCAAAATATATTCCAAGAGGTATTTAATACGTCACAGCAAGTAATTGTTGCAACACATGTCGAGTCGAAACACTTGGCAATCACAATGCCGGCACAGTCGACGAGGATGAGACTTACAATTGAGCAAAAGCGTACACTGCTTCAGCACCACATGTCGTATCCTAGCATGAGAGGTACTGAGTTGGGTCAATGGGCTCGCATCACATTCGGCCTTCCGCGTGTGCCCCAAAAGGCAACAATGTCGAGGTGGCTTAACAGCCAGACTGACCAAAAGGATGTCCATCGGTTACATAAGGCAGCGCATCTACCGCACCTACCACAACTCGAGAGTCAACTCATGTCTTGGATATATTAGTGCGAAGAGTGGAAGGTTCCAATCGTGAGTGGACCCACCATACGTGCCAAGGCAATGACGATCCGTGCCGCACTCCAAGACGTCAGCCCCACACGCGACCCTTGTCTTGACTCCATGGTCTTGTCGAACGGTTGCTCCACCGCTTTCAGGAACGGCGCGATATGAAGTCACGTTGAGTGTACGGCGAAGCAGCGTCGGCAAGTCCTGAGGCCGTTGATGAAGAAATTCGACGAATTGGTCGAAACAGCAGATAGTCTGACAAGGAGAACTTTGCGTCTCGTGTGAACAAATTGCACGAAGTGACCCTGTTGCAACCGTTGGAATGTGCCAAGGATCCCTGGCAATGTGTCACGCAAGATACAATTGTGAATTGCTGGCGCCACACAGGTATATTGGACGAAGAGGTTTATTAGTTGATTGATACTGTAGTATGCGTAACCTCTAAGGAATGTTAACATTGTCGTTGATGGTGGTTTTGTCTTCGGAAGGTTGCCAGGGTATCAACCCCACAATATGATGTCCATTTTTCCATCCAACCAATTTCCAATACCATATGATTTAGTTCGACCAATCCGATTACATTTACCCATCCAAAATTCCTCTATAATTTTATGATTGTCTTGAGGTAATACCCCTAAAAACGTATTGGGAGCAATGGTTCCGTATTCCTGGGGACTACTTTATATGATTCAATTATCTGGAAGAGCACTTTCAAAGCTCTGACGAATCACTTCAGAAGACACTAAGTCCCAGGCAACCATGGCACGCTTTACCATGGCCCACCGCTTCTGCTGCGAGGTAGGTGGGAACGGATCATCGTCTTTCCCCACCACTTGTTCCTCATACAACCACAGGTTTCGTAGGTTGCGCTTGAAGAGTGCCATCACGCCAACATCCAAGGGCTGTCAGACTGAAGTTGCTTTTGGCGGCAGGGTGCACAGGTGAGCTCCAAGTTCTTCATGCTTAGTCTTGTAGGATTCATCGGAGAGCTTTCGAAGATGTCCACGAGCACAACTGAAGGACCTTCAATGCTACGACCAAGGACATCACGCAGGTAAAGTGCCAACACGCGTGCATCCATCCAGGCATTCTCTTGCATCGCCTAATGGGCTGGTTTCCTTGGGAAACGTAGGGAATTCGATAGTTTCAATTCGCCCACCAGGTACGCCACGCATAGTGATCAACAGAGGCAACTCGAGCACTGCGGTCATACGCATTGAGTGCTTTTCATCCGTGGAAATTTTGGAGCAGCCGCCACGAACAGCCCAAAAAATGAAGCTGGGAACTACGTTGTAGCACATCCCCGTTTCATCGATGTTGAATACGCTGCCTTTGTCGTAGAGGCTGTATTCACGGCGAAATTACTTGGCAAAAGTCTCGTGGACTTCCGTCAGCACGGTTTGTTTAAGCTTACTTTTCGTAGGTCATTGACGAGAAAATTCGTGGCGAGAGCAAAATCGCTGAAGAAGTTGGTGGAGCGAGGCGAAGGCTGCAGTCGTCTACTTTGTCGCCAGGTAGGACTTCAGTCATTCTCGCTGATTTAGCTTGATCCATGTGATCATGTGAATAGTAGTTAGTGCGCGCTCGTTATCTCTAATATTCTTAATAAACTCAACTAAACCTGGTGGATCGGGAAATACTTCGCATCGACCTCCTGGTTCGATCTTCCGGCGTTTCTTGTCGCCATCGTAGGACAATAGCTCATCTCGCTGTTTATGCCATGTTCATATGGTGCGGCGAGGTATATCAAGGTTATGAGCAACTTCGCGACCAGACGTCGTCTCTAGGAGACCGATAGCCTTGAGCTTCGTTGAAATCGGGTAGGATGAGCGCCTCAATCTTTTTTTGCACCATTTGAAAATCCCGCAGGCGAACATAAGAATTCCGCCAATTACATTGCGGTATATTGAAACTGCAGTATGATTGGATAATATTCTAGGTAAGTCATCGGTAGGTGTTGCATTCTGTCTTTCCCTGTACTCAACTCTTTCAGGTTCTTGACCTATTCAAGACTTGGAAGATATTACCCCCGTCAATTTACCCTCGAATACCAAAAATTTCTACTTAGTGGTCAGGGCTAGTTGACCGATTTTGCCGTCTATATCAACAAGGTGTCCACGCATTACAGGTGAGACGCTAGGAACACCGACTTATTAACTTACTACCGCTCGATTTTGAAGACATTTTTTGCCACACCGTCTGCGAACGTTTGCTGACCTCAACTTGGTTCAGACCAACGTTGGGCAAAGTTGTCGCTTCCCATCGAAGATG